AAGATATATTGTCGGGTGGGGAAAACTGAAGGTTGTGTCTTGATGCAGGTGGAGGGGGGGGCGGCTTGGAGATCTCGGGCTGGGATAAAGGGAGTGAGAAACTGAATTGCAGATCAAGTACAGTCCCAAAGAGGTTACATATCTGTTCAGGGAGGTGTTGTTGACGCAGCCTGGAGAAGCACCGGGCAACGATTGGCTTGTTCTACACCCATCAGATCTGATAAAGCAAGTCCGATGATCTGGAAATAAACCCTATTCCGAGTAAGGGAGTGAAAATGCAAAAAAAAAAAAAAAAAGCATTGTTTATCTGGTAGATGCTCAAAGGCATAGGTTGACCTGCTTATCAATGAAGTGGGAAGAAACACTTGAAGATTCCACTCCTGCCATTCCCTCTGGAACTGCTTGGGGAGAATACGTTAAGAAAACTCCACTCCTCTGGGTCAGGCGGTGGAAAGAAACACTTGAAGATTCCACTCCTGCCATTCCCTCTGGAACTGCTTGGGGAGAATACGTTAAGAAAACTCCACTCCTCTGGGTCAGGCGGTGGAAAGAAACACTTGAAGATTCCACTCCTGCCATTCCCTCTGGAACTGCTTGGGGAGAATACGTTAAGAAAACTCCACTCCTCTGGGTCAGGCGGTGGAGTGAGTTATGTGTTGGCTGGATTACATCTGTACAAGGAGGAGAGGGAAAACAAGGTTTTGGCAGGCAGAGCAGCCACAGCTGGAGATGGCTAGTGCTGAGTTAATGGGTTGCTTCTTCCTTGTATCAGGCTCCTAAAAAAAATATTAAATGGATTTTGCTGCAGAAGCTGCCTTATTCACCCCAGTGTGTGCTGAGGTTCACAAGACTCAGCCAAACCCACTGGCTATCTGAGCCAATGGTTGGCTCAAGAGAAATCTAGTGGTGCTAATTTCCATGCTAATTGCTCCTTTAAAAAAAAAAAGTGACCAATGGGATGAAGAATACAGTTTCAGGGTGATGGTACAATTGTAAACGTACCAAAGCAATTCTACAGTTAGGCGGGTACAAGAAAGAGTCCTAGGCTTCCATCTAGGGCAGTCATTCGGCCACCCAAGAACAGGTTGGGCAGTTCTGATTGCATCCTGGTTATATTTCCCTTGGATCCTCATGACAGAAAGGCACGGCAGCTCAGAACTGTGGGTCTTACTTTGCCTTTTGAAAATCCTGGGTTCAAGCCTGGCTTCTCTACTCAAAAGTATCAGATGATAGCAAAAGGATTCTGTCGGCCTGAGAGTGGTGAGCAATCCAGGTGAACTCCGCTAGTCTTGCTAGGCTAAGTCTGATACAAGTCCACTTCCTGCGATGTAGATCCAGACTGAAGAACATCTGACCCTTCATATGCTGTACTTCTGTTTCCCACTGTCCCTGAACAGTGGCCATTGCATTATATGACAACTCCAAATAGTTTCCCAGTCCAGTGCAGACTCCAAGTTTCCTTTATAAGAGTGTGATCTGGTAGGACCTAGGAGATGCGCCTTCTCTGTTGTAGCACCTGCCCTATGGGATGGACTACTCCCTTAGATTCAAAGGGCTTTGGCATTTCAGAAGACCATGAAACCTTGGCTCTTCCCCTTGGCACTGGACCAGGGCATTAGATGTTCTATAGAAGTTTGGTTGTATTGTGAGGTTGGATATGGTATCTTGGTTGTGGTATTATGATTATTTCAATCTGCCTTTGGTTCATTGATGGAGGTATTTATTATTACATTGTTTTTGTAGATGGTTGTTAGCTGCCCAGAGTTGGTATGTAAGATAGGTGGCCATATGCATTTTCTAAACAAATAAGTGGAGTGCCTTCCCTTTCTGATGGAGACCAACTCTATAAGCCATGATTTTCTCTACCAGGGTCCAACATCCATAAGTGGAGTGCCTTCCCTCTCTGATGGAGACTAGCCCTGAG